GAGACTCTGTCTCAAAAAAAAAATGTGACTTTACAATGTGAACGGATCTTACCTCCAGCCTGCACCAAGGGCAAGGCTACTGTCCCGATGAACTGTCACACTGGAGTCATTTAAAGTCAGTTTCTCTATAGCACTCTTCAGGTTGTTATATTCAGATTGGTCTACAGGGTACATTCCTGAAGACACAATGATTTCTAATTATCACATGGGATAAGCTGCCTACAAACCAAACCTAATAGGTAGTGTTGGCAAATTCAAAATTAATCATTTAGCTTTCAAATTACTTTCCTGTATTTTACTGACCAAAACATTGGTTTGCTAAAAATCTATGAATATTAAGTTAAATTGGTTTCTTGGAGATCATACATACAACTGGATTCACACTCCACATAATTTTTTCATGCTTTTGAAAAATATAAGGGAAAGAAAAATAAAGAACCATGGGAATTAGGCTTAGAAGGAAAACAACTGTGTTTATTGTAAAAAACAAAAGCCTAAGATATTCCACAACCACAAACGCAACTCTATTAGTAGATAAAAATAGGAGTAGAAATGAAAACTACACTGAACTCTCAATTCTTTAGGGTAGATTATTTATTAAAACCAAGGACAAATTGTGCTTTTTTCAATTCACTGAACAAAATATGGGAATTACTACTGATTCGTCGACTTCTCTTTCATCTGACACCTCTTCACTCCACACCTCTCCAGTCCTCCAAAATCCAAGTGACTGACTTTGCCCAAAGGTAGGGTAAACAAAGTCCAGGATTCCCAGTGCAAGAGACTACAGGGAGAAAGCCAAGGGCTAGATACCCGGCACAGTGACCTGATGACCTTCAATCAGGTCTTCTTTTGCAAACGTAACACCACCCAGCAGTAAAAGGTTCTGAAGTAACACATGCTTGAGGCAATACTGTTCTCTGTCATGTCTACACTAGTACAATATTAAAGAGAGGGTAAGCAGAGGGCACTCAGTAAAAGTCTATTGATAGTAATAAAAACATCCTAATTAGAAAAATGTTTCAAATATAATAATGGGCTAACTCCCTGGAGAAACAAGAAGGAAATTTGTATTACTGTGTTCTTCTACATATCAGAACTTGTTTCTTAAAAGCTTATTTCTTAAAGAGTCCTAAATGAACACTACATATAATTCATCACACATATGAAATTATCAACCGATAGATAAATAGCACAAAGAACAATTAAATGAAACAGATATATCCTGGCATTAGCAGATATTTAAAATAACCAGAATATGCACTTTCTAGTAATTTTTCTTCTAGTATTTTCTTTCAACATAGAGATAGACTTTAGTTTAAAAATATTTTGGCCCTCAACCTTTGAATTTGTGAGCTCCTCACCTGCAAATACCATTGGTTTCGCTGA